CATAACAAACCAATATGTTAGAAACAAGTCAACAAAGTATCAAAGTATAAAAATTGTAGAAAAACCTCACCGACTAGTTCGGTGAGTCACCGAACCCATTCGGCGGGCCAATTTGGGCTTGCCAAAAGTTATAGAACAAAATAGAACAAAAATCAGCTCAAGTCGATGAAGTCCAGGGTCACTGGGCGATTGCCGACTTCATCCAGCAAACTAGAAGTAGTTCGCCGAAAGTTACAAAATATTTAACTAAAATTAGGACCGGTAAAGGGTGATCGCAAAGACATTAGGCGAGTTGCCAAGTAAAGTCGAGGAGCTCAAGCATATCACCGAATGTTACATAATCAAACCATCAAATATCAAGAGTAAAATGGCGATCGAGGGGTCACTTGGTGAACCACCGAGTCATTCGGCGAGCTCGACTAAACTCGCCGACTGGTCTCTTGTGCCATTTTTTACCCCAACCTTCAATTTTCAACCCATAGCCCACGATAATGATATTAAAGGACTATTTTATAGAAAATAAACACAGACCCATATCAATATTGACCCTAGAGTACTCAGACTTCCCTCGATTTTTCTAAAATTGGCCAATCAACATCTTTTGCCATTTAGAATGATGTCACCCACTCTATCATTGGGAAAATTCAATTGATCAGTGCAATTCGGGTTACTCAGACTTCACCCTCACTAGACCCAACATATTAGCACTACACACCCACAAGTTCCAGCAATTTAAACACGGATTTTAACAATTATGGGCTAAAACACAAAAGCTTACATGATACTACAATGGCCCTCACTTGAAAATAAATCAAATCTACAAAATTATGCAATAGATCAAACAATATTACGAGCATGTATCACAAACTACTAAAAATCAAGCCAAGTTCGGGACACAAACCTCAAAACTAGACAGAAACAAACGCTAGGCAAGCAAATACAAAAGCAAAATGTAAAATTGCCCCGAGCAAATGATATCCACACGAAAATAACATGTAAAAATATGATCTAACTATGAATCTAAGAGTGCTAGAGTGGGAAAATGTGAAATTAAGGTGAATTTTGAATTTAAAATGGTTAAGGCCCTTTTTGACCCTTCAGCTCGCACCCTAGTTAGCGATGTCACTTATGTTGTTGACCCACTCGGTGTCGCGTAAACTGGTGCTTTTGCCCGCCAAAGTTTACAAAACTCCAGCCATTTAGTTGGTCAAAAAGGCGATCGACATCGAGCTTGCCGACCTATTCGGTGAGTCGCCGAACAGTGCCTAATTGCCTCTTTACCCCAAATTTTGTATTTTTAACCTGCACATCTAACAACCGTTATTCAAGCAACAATATTAAAAACTAAAAACTTGGGCTGTCTCCTAAGAAACTCCTTATTTAACGTTGTGGCACGAAGAAGACACGCTTTCAAGCTTCGTTCTTAACCATTGCATCACTTGGTAATCCTCATTTTGGTCTTGGATTTAAATGAGTCGAGATTCGACCCATCTGTATTTCCAGCTGCTTAATCGATACCGAATGTGAGGTAACTATTTGGTTCAGAGATGATACTTCGTCTTTCATTTCCTTTTAGCACATTGTCCAATACTTCCACTTTGTTAAGAATGCGTGCAAGCATATCTTCATTGCGAAAATTTACAGGATCAGCCCTTTGCTCTTTTGGCTTTTGACGCTCATGGGGAGGTACATATCGTTCTTTATCACCATCCCTCTCTCTCAAATTTGTACCACGGTCACGCCATTCCCTATCACGGTATGTCTAGCCTTTATCGTGATCTCAATTCCAACCTTGATTCCCGTCCGGCCTTGGATAGTTCGAAAGGAAACCTCCTCCCTGATTTGTTAGGAAATGTACTTCCTCATTGTACATAGCTTCAAAATGCGATTCATTAGGATTCACTACACTAACTCTGACCGCATTCATACCCTTAAACTCACTTCCCATGACGTGTTTTGATAATATGTCTATTTGGGTCATCATCTTAGCTATGTTTACATCCCGCTATTGGTCTTTTTCCATTTGTTCCTTTGTCATCCTGAAGCTCAAAGAAGACACTTGATCTTCTCTAGTGTACCAAGCACGGTTGATTTTTGTCATTTCATCAAGAAGAGTAGATGTTATTTCAAACAATTGTTGCATGATTCCTCCTCGAATGAGCTGGTCTGCCACACCCTTGTTGAATGAATCTAGACTTCGGTAGAAGTATTGTACCAACACATTGTTAGGGAGTCATGAGTTGGACATTGGAGCAACAATTTATGAAACATCAACCATGTCTCATGAATTAGTTCACCATCCACTCGCTTAAAGTTCTGAATATTATCTCTCAATGTCACCATTTTCGAGGGAGGGAAAAACCGTACATAAAACACATTAGTGAGCTACTCCCAAGAAGTGATTGAATCACTTGGTAAATCAGCCAACCACTTCGTTGCCTCCGCCATTATGGAAAAGGGAAATAAACAAAGTTGGACCGACTCCTGAGTGATGTTCTTGAAAGAAAATGGCCCACACACATCTACAAAGGTTCAGATGTGATCATGAGGATCCTCAGTAGCTAGACCTCCAAATGTACCCTTCATTTGCAACAGCTACAAGTTTAATGGTGATTTCATCTAGTGGTTGTGGTTTAATTTAATGGGTTTGTAGTTGCAAATACAAAACCACCAATGTGTTTTCGGCTTGCCCGAAAGGGAGGTCGCGAAACTAAGACCACTAGACTGATGGCCTAAGGAGTGGGTCGACATGAGGTTCATCCCTAGAGGGTGAGCCCTAGTCCCATCTCCTAACACTCAGCTCGAAAGAGTGAGTGGGGTAAGGCGAGACTGGTCTTCATGCAGCAAATGGGTATCCGAGAGGAACCCATTTGAAACGGGGTAAGTTGCCCGAGAGGGAACTTATTTCCATCTAAAGCTTAGCCTAGTCACTATTATCTTGCAAATTTCCTATTGAAAGCATGTACCCAACAATTTATCTAAACTTGTATTGCGGTCACACCCCAAGAACATTTCCCCATACTTGAATTTCTTGTTATTTTTTGCTATTTTTACTACTTGTGACAAAACCCCCAATCGATATTTGACACTTTTGTGTCGCCTCCTTTAATTTACCATGCTTTTAATTGTTAATGTCTTCAGCTACGACTAGTTATAGCTTAATTTTATTTTTCTATCAATTCTCAAAACCACTCCTTTGGGACATGACCCCAACCTTTAGTTGGGTTACTACACTATCGACGATTGTAGACACTCATACCGTAGGTTAGTGTCGTTGGTCATGATAAGCATCAAAATGGCGCCGCTGCCGGGCAGTGGTGTTATTTGATAATTTTTAGATTAGTAGAATTTTTGTTCTTCTTAGTTGTAGTTTACTAACATAATTTTTAGTTTTGTTTTGAGTATTTGTGTGCCACAACAAGACATATGAGTGCAAACGGTGAGAATAGTTGCCAAGCAGGCCACTCAAGGGGTGGTGTTTTTCATCGAGATGACATCGATGATGTCAATAGTGTTTATAACTTTGCTGATGTGGGTGAGAAGGGTGAAATTTGCATACCACAAGCTGAAGGAAAAGTAATGTTCGAAGTTACTAGCGCAACACTCCAATTCATACAGACCAGAGGTTTATTTGGAGAGTTAGAACATGAAGACCCACACGAGCATATACGAAGCTTTGTGAAAGTGTGCACCCTTTATCATTCAAGAACCTATCTGAAGAATCCATACGATTTTGCTTATTTTCATTAACATTAACTGAGGGAGCTACTAAATGGTTGGTTGAGCATCCCAACAACTCCATTAAATCATAGGAGGAGCTAGTTATGGCGTTTCACGAAAGATTCTTTCCCCATCAAGAATGATGAAGCTGAGAAATGATATTCAAAATTTCAAGTAAAATGAGGGTGAACCAATTCACGAGTCATGGATAAGGTTTAAGAGATGTTTACATAAGTGTCCAACACATGGACTGCCAGGTGAATTGCTACTCCAATACTTTTACCGTAGTCTGGACTCGGTTAATAAAGGGATAGCTGATCAATTAGTGCAAGGAGGAATAATGTTACAATCATTTGAAGTAGCCACATTTCTCCTAGAAGGTATGACTAAAGTGAACAAGGCATGGTATACCAAAGATGATCAAGTTTCCCCATTATGTTTCCGGTTAATGCAAGAGCAGATCGAAAAAGAAAGGGAGAGGGATGTCAACATCAAGAAGATGTTATCTCAAATGGAAATTCTACAAGAACATATGAATGGGACACGTGGAATATTTCGAGTTTAGGAGGGTTCTTCTTCTGGTTACTCAAGACCGAGAGAGAATCAAGGTTGGAACTCTAGAAGATACGAAGAGGGTTTCCACCCACGCTATCAACGAATGCAAGTAGTCCTACGGTAAATGATTTGTTATCGCGCATACTCGATAAAGTCAAGGGCTCTGATGATTTGGTAAAATGGATGAAAGATGACTTTTTATCATTGAATAGTAAAGTGAATTCTCATGTTGATGCAATCAAAATGCTGGAAGATAAATTGAGTATATTATCAAGTCAATTAACGTCCAAAACACCGATGGACTATAATGAAAAAGAGCTGGTTGTGGTTACCCGTAGCGGTAAAGTGGAAATAGGGAGTGTGATGGGAAATGAGGATCCTCAAAAACATGAAGAGGGCCAAGGTGTGGAGGAACAAGATATACCTATTCGACAAAATCGCACTAAAGAACCACAGGGGGAAGCAGAGCAACAAGTTCAAGTTCCAAAAGTCATACACCTTTTACCTAAGATACATCCACCATTTCCCCAATGTTTGAAAAATAAGAATGAAGATGAGAAGTTCAAGAAATTTTTTTTCAGTTTCAAGAGCTTATCGATTAACCTCCCTCTAGTGGAAGCATTGTTGGAAATGCCGGGATATGCCAAATTTATAAAAGAACTGGTTACAAAGAAAAGGAGCTTGCAATATGAAACGATTGAGATGCCCCATAGTTGAGTGAAATTATGACAAATGATTCAATCACTAAGAGAGAAGATCCTGGAGCATTCACAATCCCGTGCACGATTGGCATGCTCCAATTTGCTAAAGCCTTGTGCGATTTAGGAGCAAGTATCAACTTGATGCCCTATGCAATATACAAGCAACTTGGTTTGGGTGAACCAAAGGCAACCACAATGAGACTCCTCATGGTTGATCTAGAATGTGAGATCGATGCTGAAATTCCCATTGTTTCGGGAAGGCCATTCTTAGCTACCGGGAGAGCATTGGTGGATGTCGAAAGCGAAAAATTGAAGTTCCGTGTGAATGATGATGAAGTGACCTTCAATATTTGTAAGTCCATGAAGCAACCAAGTAACATCCATATGGTGTCCACTGAGGATGTGATAGATAAGGCAATGGCAAGTATGAGTCATTTAATGCGCAAGAATGATCCCATTGAATTTGTGCTTGCTAATTATGATGACTCCAAAGTTCAGGGTTACGAGGAAGTGGTAGCTGCTTTATCAAGATTAGGATCATATTCAAGGAATCCAATCAAATTGGATATCGATTTGAAAAATAGAGAAAGTCCCCCTGCTAAACCATCAACAGAAAAACCACCGAATTTAGAGTTAAAAGCCCTACCCTCTCATCTCAAATATGCCTTCTTAGGAGCCAATAATACTCTACCGGTAATTATCACCGCCAATCTGCTTGAAGGGCAGGTGAAATTGCTCATTAAAGTACTTCGAAAGCATATAAAAGCTATTGGATGGGCAACGATATAGTAAGAATTCCGCCTGGCATCTGTACTCACAAAATCCGACTCGACAATAAATGCAAACCTAGTGTCGAACATCAACGGAGATTAAACCCTCTAATGCAAGAGGTGGTAAAAAGGGAAATCATCAAGTGGCTAGATGCAGGGGTGATATACCCTATTGCAGATAGTAAGTGGGTAAGTCCGATGCAATGTGTACCGAAAAAGGGAGGCATAACCGTAGTCCCGAATACAAAAGGAGAACTTCTGCCAACAAGAACAGTGACTGGGTAGAGAGTATGCATGGACTGGACCGACAAAGACCATTTTTCGATGCCTGTTATGGATCAGATGCTTGATCGGTTATCAGAAAAAGGGTGGTACTATTTTTGGATGGGTACTCCGGCAACAACTAAATCTCTATTGCGCCGAAAGATCAAGAGAAAACCACTTTTACTTGCCCCTATGGAACTTTCGCATTCAAAAAAATGTCATTCGAGCTATGTAATGCCCCAGCAACATTTCAGCATTGCATGTTGTCTATTTTTGCAGATATGGTCGAAGACTCTATGGAGGTGTTCATGGATGACTTCTTAGTCGTAGGGGATACGTTCGAAGAATTCTTGACTCACTTAGGACAGGTACTCCAAAGATGCGTCGAAATGAATCTAGTTATGAATTGGGAGAAATGTCACTTTATGGTAAAAGAAGGTATTGTTCATGGGCATAAGGTGTCACAAAAGGGGCTAGAAGTTGACAAGGAAAAAATTGAGGTCATTGAGAAATTACCCCTGCCGATTTCAGTAAAGGGTGTTCGTAGCTTCTTGGGGCATGCAGGATTTTACAGAAGGTTTATTAAAGACTTCTCAAAGATTGCACTCCCATTGTGCAAACTCTTAGAGAAGGAAGTGAAAATCCACTTTAATGATGCTTGTATGGCTGCATTTCAGTGTTTGAAAGAGAAACTAATATCCACTCCAATCATCATCTACCCTAATTGATCCCAATCTTTTGAGTTAATGTGTGATGCCAGCGGTATGGCACTGGGGTTTTGTTGTGGCAAAAGCGCAACAAACTGTTTCACCCAATCTACTACGCAAGCAAGACTCTAAATAGTGCCCAGCAAAATTATACGGTCACCGAACAAGAGTTGCTTGCAGTAGTCTATGCATTTGAGAAATTCAGGGTGTACTTTCTAGGCACCAAAGTAATCGTACACACTGATCATGCTGCACTCCATTATTTGATGGCAAAGAAAGATGCAAAACCGTGATTGATTAGGTGGGTACTACTATTACAAAATTTTGATTTCGAGGTGAAAGATCGAAAAGGATGCAAAAAACAAGTGGCTGACCATTTATCAAGGCTGGAAGCAAGGGAGAATGTCGAGCATGAGGTTGACATAGATGACTCTTTCCCAGATGAACGGGTGTTTGCAATATCCCTTAAACATACGCCATGGTATGCAGATTTTGCAAATTACATTGTGTGTGGGCTGATGTCGGATGAGTTGACCTTTTACCAACAGAAAAAGTTTCTTGTTCGATGTTAAAAATTGCTTTTGGGACGAGCCATACTTGTTTTGAGAGTGTGTTGACCATGTCATTAGAAGGTGCGTTCCGGAAGAAGAAGTGGTAGAAATTCTTCATGCTTGCCATACACCTCCAGTGGGAGATCACCATGGTGGTGTTTGCACTGCTGCTAAAGTTCTCCAGAGTGGGTATTACTGGCCATCAATCTACAAGGATGCACATGAGTTTGCAAAGAAATGCTCTAAATGTCACCAGCAAGGCAGAGTGTCTAGAAGACACGAATTACCTCTCACTCCTATTTTAGAGGTTGAGCTATTCGATGTATGGGGGTATAGATTTTATGGGACCAATTGTGAGCTCGTTTGGAAATAAATATATTTTAGTGGCTTTATATTATGTCTCCAAATGGGTGGAAGCCATCGCACTTCCAAACAACAAAGGAAAAAACGTTGTCCAATTCCTGAAACGCTACATTTTCACCAGATTTGGCACTCCGAGAGAAATCATAAGCGATGGGGGATCCCACTTCTGCAATATGTGGTTCTCAATGGCACTGAGTAAATATGGGGTGAAACACAAAGTGGCAACCCCGTATCATCCTCAAACAAGTGGCCAAGTCGAAGTGTCGATTCGAGAAATCAAAAACATCTTGGCAAAGACAGTAAATGATAATAGAACTGATTGGTCTAAGAAACTCGATGATGCACTATGGACATATCGAACTGCTTACAAAACACCTATCGGGATATCTCCATATCAGTTGGTTTATGGTAAGGCTTGTCATCTACCCGTTGAGTTAGAACACAAAGCATTGTGGGCATTGAAAGCTTTAAATTTGGACTGGTCAAAAACATCAAGAGTGAGAATAGAACAGTTGAACGAACTGGATGAATTTTAGACTCAGATCATATGAAAGTTCAGCTATCTATAAAGAGAAGATGAAGAAATGGCATGATGCTCGGATACTCAAGCGAGACTTCAAGGTACGAGATTGGGTTCTGCTATACAACTCGCGGCTTAGACTCTTCCCCGGAAAGCTAAAATCCAAATGGTCTGGACTGTTTAGAGTAATGCGAGTGTTCATCAATAGTGTCGTAGAAGTTGAAGATCAGGAAGGACCTCCATTTACAGTGAACGGTAAACATCTGAAATTGTATCTTGAAGATTGTCAAGAGATTTCGTTGGTTGAAGTGGTATATTTGGAAGATGCCTGAAGGCGCTGTTGTGTTGTGCCGCGAAGTTAACTAAGGCACTGTTTGGGAGGCAACCCAAAAATCCCTTTAATTGCTTTATTTTCATTATTGTCAGTACAGTAATAGAATGGTATGTCATTTGTGCAGGTGAAAGTACTAAAATGAATTAAGGATGGCAAACAATAGATCTTGTCGGCGAGTCGCCGAAGGGGTCGGTGAATCTGACCTTATCTGCCGTTTGACTCAAAACATCGTAAACACTTAAGTCATTTACACTCGACGAGATTTGGAGATTATTTACGATTCACCAAAAATTTTGGTGATCTCGATGAAAATTGTCGTTTGGATCTTCACAATGACTGAAGATTCTGTAAAACTCGGCAAGTCGAGTGCTCACTCAGCAAATCGCCAAGAGATTCGGCAATTAGAACTAATATCGCCAAATGAACAAAAAAAATACTGGACGGATGCCATGACAGATGGAGCAACTGCATAATCAGGATCACTTCTTCACCTCTCTGTTTGTCTTACTTGCATTTAGTGTTGGATTCATATTATTTGCATTTGAGGACAAATTACTCTTTATTGGTGGTGGGGTGAGGCTCACCTTTTGTGTGCTATTTGTGATTCGTGTTTTGTATATATTTGGGTTGTTCTGTTTAAAATTGTGTTTACACTGCTTTTTGTGGATGTTTGAGCTCATGGCTCTCTTTTGTTTTTAAATAGCGAATGATTTTGACCCTTCCAAAAAATTTTGAATTTTTCGCACATTTTTGCCACCCTTTGTGAGTTGAATGTTGTTGTTCTTTCGCAAAAAAATTGAGTCTCAGTTTCGATCAATACCGATGACTTGAATAGTGCTCTCAAGTGAACGAACATGAATGTACTGTTACAATAAGGCCAAATAAAGTTGCATAGACAATATGTGAACTTGTTGCATCTCGTTGTGATTAACCATTTATCGAATTTATTCTCTTGTAACGACCGTTGCACACAAGCGAAAATGTGTAGTCTTGTTTAACTTAAGTGTCGATGCCTTGTGTGATTAGCTTGCTTTGAAACTTGCATGAATAAACCTAGAAATTGCCCTGTTAGTCTGATTAATTTAGAAAGGTGTCCTCTTGATATGATCTTAGGCAATTTTAAAGAGTGTAAGCCAAATTTGACATATACCTCTTTTGTGGCCTACCTGTGAGCGTGTGAAACTTTTGAACACCCTTTGAGCCTTACCTTTCTTTGGAAGAACCTTGATGAACCCTAGACCTTACTGAACCACCACCTACAATCCTCTTGAGTTGTGGTTTAGCGAATACCCAACTTAGGCCAAAAGCCTAAGTTGGGGGTGTGGTGAAAAGAAAAAGGAGAAGTCAAGAAGTGCAAGAAAAAGTCCCCCCTAACCCATGGTATTGCATAAGTGGAAACCCCTTCTAAAAAAAATAAAAAAATAAAAAATAAAAATATATATATATATAAAATAAAAAAATTGGGTTTCCAAGAAATCCATGAGGATGAATAAAAAGGTGACTTGAAGCACTAGAAAAAGAATCGATAAAGGAAAAGAAGGGAATACCTTGAGAATACCACATCCCACGAAGAAGAAGCCACTGAGCCTAAATGACCATACCTTTGAACTCATCTCCATTACAAGCCTTAGAAAGACCTTTTTGATCTTCATTAAATCAAATCAAAAGTCGATTGGAAAATAAGGGCAAACCTATGGGTGAAAACATGCATTGTGTTCCTTTTTTAGTGTGAGCGTTGCATCGGATTCCTAATCTTGAATTAATTAACATTTGTGTGTGAATATGGAATCATCCTTCATGTGAGGGCATTTAGATACTTTTTGTTGAGTCGAACTTGCACAAGTAGCAAGTATTGCGAGCATGAGAATCTTTGGTAATAGTGTGTCACAACTTGAATCTTTGAGTACACAATTGATCCTTGCATAAGTAAATTGATTCTTGTTGTGTACACTCATTATTGAGTCTTGTGTAGCACTGTTTGAGGCACCCTTTTTGAACGGCTGAACTCAAGTTTGCTTGAGGACAAGCAAAAGTTTAAGCTGGGGGTGTTGATGAGTCCACAAATTGGACTCATTTATGGCTTTATTTTGATAGAAATAGTGTCCTTGAATGCTTATTTTGTCTCAATATCTGATGAAAACTCTTAAGTTTCAGGTATTTGAAGTTTTAGTGGAAGCATGGACACTTAGGTGCAAAAAGGAACATAAAGGCTGAAAAGAACAAAGAAGCTGAAGCATGAGCATCGCCAAGAACCTTTGGCGATTCGCCGAAAGGACAGAC